TGCAATGCACCCCACCCCACCCCATCCCTCACACTGCAATGCACCCCCACCTAGGGTAACCAGGTGTCCGGTTTTGGAGCGGAACACCAAGTCAAAAAGGAATCCTGACAGCTCCGGTCAGCACCGCTGACTGGGCCATTGAATGTTTGGTTTGCGGTGCCGCAGCAGGGCTGGCAGGCTCAGAGGTGGCGAGTTATATGGGCCCGTGGTGCCTGTGCTCCAGGAATATTCAGGGCCTGGGGGCCCGGCTCCACCAATGTTCAGGGCTGGGTCTCTCCCCCGGCCCCACCTGCCACCCCCACGTGCCTCCCCCGGAGCATTTCCTGGCCCCGCCTGCCGCCCTGAGCAATTTAAAAGAGCCCCAGCTGCCACCACCACCACCGGCAGTGCAGCGGGCCTAAGGCAGCTTCGTGGCTGGCCTCGCGCCGTGCTGCTCCTGGAAGCATCTGGAACGGCTCTACTGACCTGGTGAGAGGGGTGTGTGTCTCCACATGCTAATCCCGCCCTGAGCGCCGACTCCGCAGCTCGCGTTGGCCAGGAACAGGGCCGGCTCCAGGCACCAGCTTCTCAAGCAGGTGCTTGGGGCGGCCGTTCTGGACAGGGGCGGCAGTTCCAGGTATTCGGCGGCAATTCGGCGGATGGTCCCTCACTCCGCTTGGGAGTGAAGGACCTCCCGCCGAATTGCCGCCACAGATCGCGATCGCGGCTTTTTTTAGATCGCGATCGCGGCTTTTTTTTGTGTGTGTGTGTGTGTGTGTTTTGGAAACAGCCAGCATGTCCATGTGAGCTGCCAGGGTGGGTCCTTGTGCAGCCCCACCTGCAGGCGCAGCTCCCATTGGCTGGGGCAGAGCAGGGAGGAACTAGTGCCACTTGCGAGTGCTCAGCAGGTGGCTGTTGAGGGGTCGTGTGGCGTGCGCCTCTCCAGCTGCTGCCCAGTTCTCTTCTCCTCGCGCTTCTCATGTGGCTGGGCTCGAGCTGCAGCATGTGCCCTGCTGCGAACCGCGGTCTGTCATCCCGTCACCGGTGTGACAGTGTACCCCATAAGGCTTTATGGGGAGGGGGTGCTTATAAATGTATGTATGACATAACTGGAATATGTTTTGTGCTGCCTGTGCCAGGTAACATATCTCCGTAAAGGTTATGGTCTACTATATCTATTCATCCTATTTGTACATATATATATCATTTTCTACTTGAGGTTAAGAATATGGGCTGTATGCTTGCTGGGTTTCTAAGTAAGCTTTGGGAGGCATTTGGTCAGCTTCTTTAGGAAGGAATTCGCCAGGTTAAGTACCTGATCAGGGAACAATGCATCTTGGAATGCTCCAATCCACATAAGAAGTCTTCCTGGAGACATGCAAGATTCCATGTGGGCAATGGCTTCAGCCTGTAAAGACTGAGTCATGCAGGTCCGGACATGTGACTTGCCCAGGTGACTCCAGAACTCCATCTTGGAGCTGGACTTTGCATAGGAGGGAGGAGGGGGGTCTCCTCCCACAAGAGAGAGTCTATTTAACCCTGGGGGAGACCCCTCCATTTTGTCTTCAGCTGGCTAAAGAAGGAGCCTCTCCACCCCCCCAGGATGCTTGAAGGAAACCGAAACAAAAGACAGTAGCTACAGGGGTTGTGAGAGATTGCTGGACCCAGGCTAAAGGGAGATTAGCCTGTAAAAGGGAGCATTCTGGAACTGGTGAGGAACTTATCTGTATTTAGTTTGATTAGGCATAGATTTGCGCATTTTATTTTATTTTGCTTGTGACTTACTTTGTTCTGTCTGTTACTACTTGGAACCACTTAAATCCTACTGTCTGTATTTAATAAAATCACTTTTTATTTAGTAATTTACTCAGAGTATGTATTAATACTTGGGGGAGCAAACAGCTGTGCATATCTCTCTATCAGTGTTATAGAGGGCAAACAATTATGAGTTTGCCCTGCATAAGCTTTATGCAGGGTAAAACGGATTTATCTGGGTTTAGACCCCATTGGGAGTTGGGCATCTGAGCGCTAAAGACAAGCACACTCCTGTGAGCTGTTTTTGGGTAAACTTGCAGCTTGGGGACGAGTAATTCAGACCCTGGGTCTGTGTTGAAGTGGACTGGAGTGTCTAATTCAGCAAGACGGGGTGCTGGAGTCCTGAGCTGGCAGGGAAAACAGTAGCAGGGGTAGTCTTGGCACATCGGGTGGCAGCTCCCAAGGGGGTTTCTGTGATCCAACCCGTCACAACCGGCACCCAGGAGTTGGAGGTATGCGTATCCCCGTC